AAATTATTAGAAGTAATCCCGTACGGTAGGTCCGGTATTTTGGCTTAGCTGTCGGTTGGTTTGTTGGTATCATTGCGACTATACATATTGGACAATAACAAATCAGTGGTTCTGACATATTTATTTGACAGAAGCATGGTGTTGGAAGACTTGAATACGTCTTTGTCTCTAAATGTCACATCGCTCAGTTCGAAATTATGATTAGGCAATAATGCAAGATTTATGAAATGGATTTAATTAAATCTAACCCACGTTGGACGCAGTTGGATGTAGCAAGAATGGATTGACTTGACAGTGCCAATGTTAAATAGCAGCATAATGTATTGCTGTGTTTCTCGTTGAAAATCGGAGAGCCATTTAGCTGGTAAGGGGGCATTTTATCGCAGTCCTCGGGGATGACAGAGCGACGAGCATAGATGTAAGTGCTTATGGGCCTTCTTTATGTGTAACTCAGTTAGTGTGTTCGTCTGTCATCGTCACAATAAATTGTATTAAATATTCGGGCTTATTACAAAACGTGATTTATAGTTAGTTTCAGGTTTAAAGAAGAGTGTTTGTTCTGAAAAAGGTCCTTTAGCCGCGGCGCCACAGTCTACGCGAAATTTGACATTTTCTTCTATACTTTACATTTTAAAGTATGGAAGCAATTTTCTTTTGAACCTCTTAATTGAAGCAGACCCCAGTTTAAGCCTGAGACTAATCATGAACTACTCTTTATATCATATATTATAATGGCTTTGGCTTAAACTAAAATATATCGTTGGAGTTCACTTAATTTAAAACAATAGATACTCATCAATTAAGCACTGTAATCTTTCATCGTAGACTTCGATGTATTCAATCATTTCGTTCCAAAAAAGTAATAGGGCACTGAATAACGAAATATTTATTGCTGGTACAACTTCAATCATTTAGTTTTATTTATGCTGAATATTTGGCAAAAGAAATACCTAAATATATTGAATCAACTGTAAGCCAAGACCCAGTTACAAATCAAATATAACAACTGACCCCAATTTATTTTGCATCACTTTTAAAATCGGTTAAGTACTTGTGTTGCTCTAGCATATTTTTTCATTCCATTTTCATTATTATATTAACGCATTTACATAAAGTTAAATGCGTCGAGCCGGGAGTCCGAGCTGCAAGCGATTCAATATTATATTTTATAGACATGTACAGCCATAACACTCAAACGGACCACCCAGATTGGTCATTACAAAGGGCTCCGCCCACAAACCGCTCTTCAATTCGAACTAAATAAGTGTTGCATTCCATGTCTGACGCCTCTGTGAACCATTTGGGCACCTACATAATTTCTACTACAAAATAGCTAACCTAATCTGACCCATTTGGAACTGGACATCTTTCTCTGACTGACACTATTTTAAGTTTCAAATTAAAATGGACTATTATAATCTTAGCAATAATAACGGTCGTTATGTCAAAATAGAGGTATGCTAAGTGTCACGTTGTTTTATGGTCAAGGAAAACAACTCAGTCGTCCTCTGTAATTTGGTACGTCTGATTAAGCCATTGAAATCTTTTTGTGATTATTTTTAAGACTATTAAAGATGTTTAAGGTTATAAAATTTAATGGTGTTATAATTTAGACTGTGATTTTAGGTCAGGCCGTTTTATTACACGGAATCCTTTTTTATATAATCAAAGTACGAGTACCTACAAGAATGATAAGATCCGAATGATTAAAGTAACTGGCATAGACATATAGGACGAAGGACTGGTAACCGAAGGTAAAGTATGGTTCTTGATCGTATGACTGACTGGTGCTGACAAGAGAAGTATCTGGCGAATCCTTTGTGAATTTTTTTTATAGAATTAGAGTGACAAAATATTTAAACTGCATGAATCGAAAATGATCGTTACGGCTTGATGGAACACGAAGCGAGCCAATGGATGCAGTTAGCTGAGGCTAATGCTTTGTGACAATCTTTGAGCGAGGTTCATGTTCAATTGTAGACATGTGAAGGACTGTAATGATGATGATAATAATAAAAGAACCAATAATTAGAGTAGTATAATTACTAAGACATTACATTATAAATGTTGAAAAAATGTAAGAAATCTTGGAGAACGTAAACCATCTAGAGGGAAGGTTAAGCATATCGAACGGAACCAATTAACACACTAGGAAGAGAATTCAAGAAGTAAAATACAAAGTTCTTGCACGAAAAAAGAAGAAGTAACATGAGATTATTCATTACTCTGTATAACTGCAAGTTGTACTTACAGATTATAATAATATAGGGACTCCAATAATATAGACACTGAGTTAATAAAGTTAATGTTTATTGCATACACCAGTTATAGCACATACAGCAGTCTTATACAATACACGAATTCTCTAACAGTTTTTTATATTTATACACAACACTATATAATCTAAACATAAAGTACGCGAATATTTTTATACACTACACTGCATTTACAATATTTCGCGGAGTAATTTTTGTTATTATTTTTATCAGTAGGGTTATTAGCTTCCGCAGTACCGGACGTCCCTTGTGTGAACATATTGTGTCTAGAAGTTTTTGATACAAAACATTAAATAAGTTATATTAAATGTAAATTGTATTCGCGTATTTTTTGATAGGATAAGGGTGACAAACGAGTACAAAGTCCCCTTGATGGTAAGTAGTTGCTGTGGCCCATAGACATCTACATCTATCGTCGACTACGAATCAAAATGCAGACCTGTGAGGACTAGATTGGAATATCTTGTTTCCAGTAAAAGGGATCTCCGGTTCACTACACTGACCATACGAAACACAACAGCGTTAAGCTGCTATTTTACGCTGGTATTCCTTGAGAGCGTGGTCCTTCACCGGTCGAGCTGACCCATTCGTGCTACAACTATACAATTAATATATGTGTATACATTTTACATGGAAGCCACATGGAAGCATGTAAAATGTAAGAAATCATTATCCAAAAATTTTATTTTAACACATCCCTATATTAACTCTTATAATACCCTAGCGATAATATGAAGAGATTATTTCTTTTATGCCCTCATTGCACATTCTTAATGAACTTGTAAATTTTAAGTGTATAATAAATAAGCAATGAATATATAAGCAGTGAGCTGATTTCGGTGAGGCAGTTGTATATATACACACTTTACTGATGAAAACATAAGTGTTTGTCTTTTAATCCTACTTAGAGTAGTTGAAGAACAAATTATTGCGTAGCTCCTATTTGGAGAACGAAAACCTTTGTGAAATATCAATGTGGCAAACAATCGAAACACTTATACAATCAAACTAATAAAATATTGCAAATATATCCATTACAGATATGCGACTGTAAAAATATAATAATGCAGTGGCATAATATGACGCTTAATTACGTGGCACACACGAACATACGCAACGCACACACCCTGTTTCTGTTTCGTTGAATATACTTACTTAAGGAAGGGTGAAGATCTTCTGCCACATGTAATTTTATATTTCAGCAGATTAATGTACTAAGCTCTAGCAACATACTAATTGCGGAAAAATAACCAAAAATGTAGAGCCACCGGATAGTTGGCAACAGTATTATCAGCCCGTCTCTACCTTGCGGGTGTGAAAAATTTTTTTTAGAAATTTTCGGAAAGCATAATGAACATTAGTGGCAAATATAAATCAGTTTCTGTGATATTTTTGAAGTTATACTTCTTTTGGGGCGTTTGGGAAAAATGATGAGAGTGAATTTTTACGATGCGCGCGCACACAGAGACCAAAAAACGACACCAGTTGTTACGATGCGCGCGCACACTGACACCTAAAAGCGACGACAACTTCAGTGGGTCTCTCTCTTCGACTGTCTCTCAAGTTTTCGTGGAAACTGATAAATATTTTTAAGGTATTTTTTTTTAGTTATTTTTGTTTTGTTACTCTAAAGAAGTATAACTTCCTACGGGCATACATAAGTACACACACACACACACACACACACACACACACACACACACACACACACACACACACACACACACTTTTTTTAAGTCATAGTTAAAACTTTTAAATCAAGTTGTAATTGTAATTGTTTAAAACTTTTACGAACGTCGAAATCTACACCAGTTCGGAAACTTTCGGAGAAGAACTGCCAAGAAACTCTTGTTCTTCTTCTTTACTTTCCAAACTTCTCGTTTACTTTCCAAATGCCATGTTACAATTTCATTAACAACTGAAATTGGAATAATAATAATAATTAATTTTCATTACTTTAAAACTTTATTCATCCTTAAGTGATGAAGTTGAAATTATGCATGCTCATTGTTAATAAAGTCAATTGAAGTGCCATCCAAGCCGGAGTGGCGCCTTTTGATAGTGTGTTTCCCCCTTTATTTTTGTTTGACAGATCAAAGGAAAGTGGAAACGCGCACTCGTATAAATAAATTGTTTAGAATTTTTAAAGTACTCCAATTGTTTTTTGACTAACTATGATAACTATATTTATTAAAATAATCCCGTAAAGGGTTTTCCATTTTTTTATGTAACCGTAACATAATTTGAAAACTTATACTTTTCTATGAAAAAAGGTAATATTTAATTGAGGCACATATGTTATCTAATACAAATAAATAAAAATGTAGTGCCTGTTTGTAAATTCGAAATAATAGCTTTTTACTATATGCATATGAAAGTATATACGGTACTAATAACAAAAATACGATTTTAAAAATTTTTGTCTGTCTGTCTTTCTGTCTGACTGTCTGTCTGTTTGTTCCGGCTAATCTCCGAAACGGCTGGACCGATTTTGACTGGACTTTCGCTGACAGATAGCTGATGTTATAAGAATTAACTGAAGCTACTTTTATTTTAGAAAAAGAATTAGGATTCCGCGCAAAAAATTAAAACCCATGAAATCCAATCGTAAGAAATTACGCGCGGGCGAAATCGCGGGGAACAGCTAGTAATAAATATATAATGGAAGTGTTTACTTTTTATTTATAACACGAATAGTAAAACGACAGATTTTTTTATACTTACCGATCTTCCAGCGTTATTGTTGTGAACATTAATCTTCGACTGCAGATCGTCAACGTGCTCCCTGATGTCGAGAAACTTCTTGGAGAACTCGATACCGTATCCTAGATTGTGGGAGCATCCACTCCATTCCCACTTGTTGACCCTCGCTCGTCCCCTGGGGTCGTGAGAGGCTCGGTATCCGAGGGGGTCACAGCCACAAGACAACAAACGGCCTTGAGCACAAGCCCGCGCTATAGCGTGAGCCACTCCCGCGGCTGTTAATGCGTACAGAAAGGCCGCTTCACGAATACCTGTAAACATTAATGATCTCAATTTTAATTGAACTACTAAGCTATTAAATTATTTACAAATTGGAGAAGAATGTACTTAAATTCGAATGCAATACAAATTTGCCGAATCGATATTTAGAAGGTACTAGAGAAAGATATAGAAGTATTTAAAAAATCATTGAATGGTTATTGTAATTTTAATTAGTACTACCTGGTACCCGGCGTGTTGCTGCCGCAAAAGAATTAAATGTGGAAATATCGTTTTAAATTTGGAAGAGTTATATATTGTTCAATTAGAAATTATATTTAATGCATTCATTGAAATTGAATGATATAAGACTTTCAAATCAATTTGTCGGTACGATACGCGCGCCACCTACTGTAAATTACTTGTACTATGCCTATAACCTTCGCGCATGTGCAAGCAATTAGTTGACATAGTTTTACCGTAATCTGATTAACGGTATGCCAGCGTATAAAATACGAACAAACAAACATTATTTTTTATATATTATTTTATATTGTTGTGTAATTCTAAAAGCCTACGTACTTTACACAGCTTCAATTACTTATAGGGGGAGCGTGTTGCTAGACTATAATCATATTTTTTAAAGGAGGATTTTTGCCTGTATCGTTGAGGCAGTTTACATAAATAAACTTCAAAAGGTCAAACATCCAAAATTTTAATATATTGTTTATTATGCAGATATCTAGGCTTCCTTACGATGTTTTACCTCATCAACAAGCATCTGATAAATCAACACGTTTAATTGCAATTCACAATTTTTTTGATGCTGACGGAAATCGGACTCGGCTTGCATGTGAAATTTGAACGCGAGTTCTTGTCCTTTGAGCAAATCACAGCTAACTGGGATACTTGTCACGCTGGGCGGTTGGCAACTTCAGTTTTTTATTATTATTGAGCTGTGTTTAGGAAGATGCTATATTTCCTGACTCAGTTTTAGTCTGTCGTCTTTAGTTAATTCTCTTAAGTCGCTTTTTCTTATTTAACCTAATATTAGAGTATAACAAAAGTATATTCAAGAATGAATAGGCTTTTGTTAAGCTAAGTCACTGCGTTAAGCTATCTTCGGCCACATCACGACTTTTTTTTTTAAATAAATTGAAGTGGCAAATTGAACTTTCTTCTTCTTCTCAGGGTGCCACTTCTCTGCGAAGGTTGGCGATCGTCATGGCTATCTGTATCTTTAAAGCTGCAGCACGGAAGAGAGAGCGAGTGCTGAGGTTAAACCATTCACGAAAGTTCTTCAGCCAGGATGTTTTTCTTCTGCCAGGTCGGCGTTTTCCTTCGACTTTTCCTTGAATCACAAGCTGAAGAATACGATATTTGTGTCATCTCATTATGTGTCCAAAACACTGTAGTTTCTTCTCCATCACGGTTCTCATTATCTCCAACTTCTTACTCATTCGATGCAGAACCTCAACATTAGTTATTCTTATAGTCCAGGATATTCGAAGTATACGTATGAATACCCAAATTTCTGAAAATAAATTGAGATTCTGATAATGATGATAATTCTTCGCATTTCTGGTAAATGCGAGCGTGTAAGAGTATATAACTTTTAAAAACATCTTGAGAACATGGCTCATTAAACTAATCGCTCTGTAGTCTTCACATCGCTTTGAGTTTAGTTTTTTGGGTATAGTGATAAAAGTAGATTTCAAGTTAGTTGTTAGTTATTGGGGAAAATACCAGTTTTATAAAACATGTTGAATAGATTTTTTTTAGGTCTAGGAACGATTTGTAAGACATAATCTTTATAACTTCAGCGTAAACATTATGAGGACCTACAGCTTTATTTACCTTTGAAGCTTTTATCGCATTTCTTACTTCTGACTCTAATATCTCTAAATATTCTTCCGGCACCTCAATATTAATAACATCGTTTCTGTTATCCGCGAAAAGTCTCTCTATATATTAGTCCCATAGATTAATTTTATCTTGAATTATGTGGATTAAGTCACCATTATCACTAACTAGTGCTACAGCATTTCGTATTTTTAAAGGTTGTACAACTTCGTTTATTTTCTTAAAAATATTAAAACTGTCATGTTTTTCTGCCGAAGCTTCTATTTCATCGCATTTTTCATGTAGCCAATTTTCTTTTGTCGTTTGTATTTTGCATTTATTTCCTTATTTAACTCCACATATCTTTTTTCGTCCAGCTGTTTTATCATTCTTCGTTCATCATATAAGTCCAATACTTTAGCCGCCATCCAGTTCCTTTTAATAACCATTTGATTGGTTTTTTAAATGTTTCCCTTCTATCTTACTATCTTTTCCTTTATTTCTTCCCAACTTTGATTTATATCTTCATCATGCAGATATACGTCAGTAAATGCATTATCCATTTCCTAAAGCCCTGTATTCACTTTGATTAGTGATTAGTGCAGGTTATTAGTGCACGCGTTTAGTTATTAGGAGTAAACACATGTGGACAGCGATTGATTAGTGCAAGTGATTAGTAACCTTTATAGTAAAGTGATTAGAAGCCTGTTCTATTTTTTGCGAGTGGACTGTGGGTATCCACGCTCTGCGCGGCTTTCCTTCCCCCTCACTCACAGCATGCCTGCCACTAAACACGTCTGGACAGCAGTGTTAAGTGTTTAGCGTTTAGCGTCGGACGCTCGCTTGTATTGCATAAAATGGCAAAGTGGACCGAAGGCATATTGTGCAGGAGTACTAAAACATGAATGTCTTTAGAATAGTAAACACCCTAATTGCAAAATTAAAGGAGCCTGAGATGCGGTATTTCTACTAATAAATGAAGTTATGAACATACCGGTGTTTGGAAGTAAAGAAGTTTATACTAAAATAAGAAACTTGAGGTCTACATATTCGCGTCGATACTTGCTGGTCGATGGCTAACAACTGAATTTACTAAATACAGCCACTAAATAGAATTGGACACTACTTACACTACACACCTGCACTAATCACCCGCAATTACTAATCACCTGCACACGCACTAATCAAAGTGAAAACAGGCCTTTATATAAAGTCTCCTTTATAGTACAATGTTTCAGTAAACGCATATCTAATTTTTGATGTATTGATTTCCTAACTTTTTTGAGTTTAATTCTTAAAGTCCCCACCACAGGATTATGGTCTAATCCCACGTCTGCTCCCAGGTACGTTTTCACAAATATGAAACTGTTACGAAATCTCTTATTTACCATAATGTAATCTATCTGGTTGAGCACTATGTGTCCCGGTTTATCTATAGGTGCCTTCCATGTATACAAGCGGTGCGGTGGTAATTGAAAGAAAGTGTTTGTGATCACATAGTTATGTTCTAGACAGAAGTCAACCAGGCGATCGCCCCGCTCGTTAATATTTCAGAGACCAAAAGACCCCACATCATCGTTCTTAGGTCTCTGTCCAACCTTTGCATTAATGTCTCCCATAATTATATTAATGACGTGATTTTTAGTAAGCTTCAGACATTCTGTGATATCTGTGTAGAACGAATCTATAACATCATCAGAGCTTGCAGCTGTGGGTTTATTGGATAATGTTTAAATTGAATGGATGTCCATTTAACTTTAGTAGAGCCACCCTATCATTTCTAGGAGTAAAATTAATAACGTGCTTTGCCATGTCTTTTATAATAATGAAACCAACCCCATTCCAGTGGTGCGTTTCGTGATTTCATGAAAAATAAATCCTATGGTTTCCCCAATTTGTTTCTCCTTTTCCCTTCCATCTCATCTCGCTAACGCTTAATATATCCTGTGACATTCTTTCCATTTCTTGTATTGAATTGTACGTCCTTCCATCTTCATATATACTTTCTAACGTTCCATTTTCCTATTTTAAAAGCACATCCGGGGATTCCTCGTCTCCTAATTTTATTTTATATGATAAGGGTGACAAACGAGCACACAGTCCACCTGATAATAGGTGGTAGCTGTGGCCCATAAACATCTATATTTATCCCCGATTACGAATCAAAATGCAGATGCGTTGTCACTTGTGAGGACTAAGATAGAATACCTCGATTCCTGTAAAAAGGATCTCCGGTTCTCTATACTCACCATACGAAACACAGCAGCGTTGAGCTGCTATTTTACGCTGGTATTCTATGAGAGCGTGGTCCCGACCCATTCGTGCTACAACTATACAACTAACATAGCTGCAGCATGACTCTACCACGTAAAAAATATACTGGATTTCTATACCTATTACAAATAGATTAGAGTGTGGTGCTTGTCCAGACAGTCTCCTAGGCAGAAAAGAGTCCTAACACCTAGAAAATACCATCAGGCGAAATAGTAACAAAGACGTTTATCCACAAATTACTGTCATTTGCGATAACATAATCCAGTATCTTATAATAGTTAAAGATCTAATTACAAATGGTATCAGATACCATAAAGTTAAGTTACATCATAGAAAATACGCTTCACTGCTGGGCACAGGTTCACATTTTCTTGCCCTATACCCTTCTCGTTTCTGAGAAGGGTTTAGGGCAAGAAAATGTCCGCTGAGCAGCTCAAATGCGTGTTCCCAAACTTCTATGTCTTCGATGTTTTTTTTTATAATTTCTCAGACATGACATTTACTACCGAATACGTGGTACATCAAGACTTTTAATAAGAACTAACAATTTTCATTGAAGCAAGAGAGATCAAGAAATTAAGTTCAAAAGGTTACTCTAATTTACTGAAACAAATGGAGGTGGTAATATGAAATGCACGTTGAATAACCTTTTTTCAGAAGTAATAATAATAATAATAAACGAGCACACATTCAGCCCATCTAGTGGGAAGTAAATACCGTGGCCCATAGACACAAATAGCTATCTTTTTAATTTATATCATGCAGTGTGCTGCCAAGATGATGTTCACTACAACATCCGACCATCTGTACTGCAGCAATAAACACTACAGCGTGGTGTCAACAATGGTATTAAGGCACTATTTTGCTACAATACTTCTCGTACAGTTATTATACTCTCTTTGTGAAGAAATCATTGGGTCATTGAAAACTAAAGAAC